CAATCTCACCAGCCAATCTCACCAGCCAATCTCACCAGCCAATCTCACCAGCCAATCTCGCCTGCCAATCTCACCAGCCAATCTCACCAGCCAATCTCACCAGCCAATCTCACCAGCCAATCTCACCAGCCAATCTCACCAGCCAATCTCACCAGCCAATCTCACCAGCCAATCTCACCAGCCAATCTCACCAGCCAATCTCACCAGCCAATCTCACCAGCCAATCTCACCAGCCAATCTCACCAGCCAATCTCACCAGCCAATCTCACCAGCCAATCTCACCAGCCAATCTCACCAGCCAATCTCACCAGCCAATCTCGCCAGCCAATCTCGCCTGCCAATCTCACCAGCCAATCTCACCAGCCAATCTCACCAGCCAATCTCACCAGCCAATCTCACCAGCCAATCTCACCAGCCAATCTCACCAGCCAATCTCACCAGCCAATCTCACCAGCCAATCTCACCAGCCAATCTCACCAGCCAATCTCACCAGCCAATCTCACCAGCCAATCTCACCAGCCAATCTCACCAGCCAATCTCACCAGCCAATCTCACCAGCCAATCTCACCAGCCAATCTCACCAGCCAATCTCACCAGCCAATCTCACCAGCCAATCTCACCAGCCAATCTCACCAGCCAATCTCACCAGCCAATCTCACCAGCCAATCTCACCAGCCAATCTCACCAGCCAATCTCACCAGCCAATCTCACCAGCCAATCTCACCAGCCAATCTCACCAGCCAATCTCACCAGCCAATCTCACCAGCCAATCTCACCAGCCAATCTCACCAGCCAATCTCACCAGCCAATCTCACCAGCCAATCTCACCAGCCAATCTCACCAGCCAATCTCACCAGCCAATCTCACCAGCCAATCTCACCAGCCAATCTCACCAGCCAATCTCGCCAGCCAATCTCGCCTGCCAATCTCACCAGCCAATCTCACCAGCCAATCTCACCAGCCAATCTCACCAGCCAATCTCACCAGCCAATCTCACCAGCCAATCTCACCAGCCAATCTCACCAGCCAATCTCACCAGCCAATCTCACCAGCCAATCTCACCAGCCAATCTCACCAGCCAATCTCACCAGCCAATCTCACCAGCCAATCTCACCAGCCAATCTCACCAGCCAATCTCACCAGCCAATCTCACCAGCCAATCTCACCAGCCAATCTCACCAGCCAATCTCACCAGCCAATCTCACCAGCCAATCTCACCAGCCAATCTCACCAGCCAATCTCACCAGCCAATCTCACCAGCCAATCTCACCAGCCAATCTCACCAGCCAATCTCACCAGCCAATCTCACCAGCCAATCTCACCAGCCAATCTCACCAGCCAATCTCACCAGCCAATCTCACCAGCCAATCTCACCAGCCAATCTCACCAGCCAATCTCACCAGCCAATCTCACCAGCCAATCTCACCTGCCAATCTCACCTGTCAATCTCACCAGCCAATCTCACCAGCCAATCTCACCAGCCAATCTCACCAGCCAATCTCACCAGCCAATCTCACCAGCCAATCTCACCAGCCAATCTCACCAGCCAATCTCACCAGCCAATCTCACCAGCCAATCTCACCAGCCAATCTCACCAGCCAATCTCACCAGCCAATCTCACCAGCCAATCTCACCAGCCAATCTCACCAGCCAATCTCACCAGCCAATCTCACCAGCCAATCTCACCAGCCAATCTCACCAGCCAATCTCACCAGCCAATCTCACCAGCCAATCTCACCAGCCAATCTCACCAGCCAATCTCACCAGCCAATCTCACCTGCCAATCTCACCTGCCAATCTCACCTGCCAATCTCACCTGTCAATCTCACCAGCCAATCTCACCAGCCAATCTCACCAGCCAATCTCACCAGCCAATCTCACCAGCCAATCTCACCAGCCAATCTCACCAGCCAATCTCACCAGCCAATCTCACCAGCCAATCTCACCAGCCAATCTCACCAGCCAATCTCACCAGCCAATCTCACCAGCCAATCTCACCAGCCAATCTCACCAGCCAATCTCACCAGCCAATCTCACCAGCCAATCTCACCAGCCAATCTCACCAGCCAATCTCACCAGCCAATCTCACCAGCCAATCTCACCAGCCAATCTCACCAGCCAATCTCACCAGCCAATCTCACCAGCCAATCTCACCAGCCAATCTCACCAGCCAATCTCACCAGCCAATCTCACCAGCCAATCTCACCAGCCAATCTCACCAGCCAATCTCACCAGCCAATCTCACCAGCCAATCTCACCAGCCAATCTCACCAGCCAATCTCACCAGCCAATCTCACCAGCCAATCTCACCAGCCAATCTCACCAGCCAATCTCACCAGCCAATCTCACCAGCCAATCTCACCAGCCAATCTCACCAGCCAATCTCACCAGCCAATCTCACCAGCCAATCTCACCAGCCAATCTCACCAGCCAATCTCACCAGCCAATCTCACCAGCCAATCTCACCAGCCAATCTCACCAGCCAATCTCACCAGCCAATCTCACCAGCCAATCTCACCAGCCAATCTCACCAGCCAATCTCACCAGCCAATCTCACCAGCCAATCTCACCAGCCAATCTCACCAGCCAATCTCACCAGCCAATCTCACCAGCCAATCTCACCAGCCAATCTCACCAGCCAATCTCACCAGCCAATCTCACCAGCCAATCTCACCAGCCAATCTCACCAGCCAATCTCACCAGCCAATCTCACCAGCCAATCTCACCAGCCAATCTCACCAGCCAATCTCACCTGCCAATCTCTTCAGCCAGCAGAAAACGATGCGAGGAGCAGAGAGGAGGGAGAGTGCTGGGAAGGGTGGGATTGGTGTGCGTGTGGGATGGCAGGGCGACCAGTGGTAAGCTGACACGTGGCACGAGGCCAATCTCACCTGCCAGTCACTCCGGCCGGCAGCAAGAGAGGCGAGGAGCAGAGCAGAGGAGGGAGAGTTGGGGGTGTGCTGGACGAGGGAGTGATAGAGGGCATGCATTGACGGCTGGAGGGGGAGGGGGAAGAGACTGGGGGAAACGGGGAAAATGGGGAAAACGGGGGGGGGAGAGGGGGGGAAGAGGGAGGGAAGAGGGGAAACGGGAGGGGGAGGGAGGGAGAATGGGGAGATGAAAACAATGAGGACAATGGGAAAAAGGGAGGGAGGTGAGAATTTCCAGAATTTGCGTGGAAGAGTGGTGGCTGAGGGAGCAGTGAGGGCGGTGGAGCAGACGTCTCAAACTTTCACTTTCTACACGGAGCGGTGAGGGCGAGCATGGATGGTTGCAGGGAGGGAGAATGGGGAGGCGGGGGGGGGGAGCATGGAGGGTCAATGGATGAGAACAGAGGGGAGGGGATTGGCGCCTTTTCAGGCGCAAAGCGAGGGTGCAAGTAAGACACATTCTTTCAAGGTTACGACAGGTAGGCAGCGTTTCTCCTAAGAGACCTGCCTGTGCGGTGACTTTTGAGAGACCTGCCTGTGCGATGACTTTTGAGAGACCTGCCTGTGCGATGACTTTTGAGAGACCTGCCTGTGCGATGACTTTTGAGAGACCTGCCTGTGTGGTGACTTTTGAGAGACCTGCCTGTGCGGTGACTTTTGAGAGACCTGCCTGTGGTCTGAAAAGTTCTCCTAAGAGACCTGCCTGTGTGGTGTGGCGATGGTGACAATAGTGTGCACTGAATCATGTCTGCTCCCTTGCTGATGGACACTGCTGCAACGCCCTCTCTCCACCTCCTGTATTCCTCCTCCTCCTTCTTCTGCCTCGTCCTTCCACGCACACTCCTTCACCTCTTCTTCCATCTCCCTATTCCGTCCCTCTCTCACACCTCCTCCCCCTCGCAGTCTCCTGTGGGCCAGACGGGCGACTATCCCCCCCATGGAGTGCCCCACTAGCAGCACAGAGGGCGGGTGAGCGGGCGTGGAAGCACAGGACGCACTGTAGAGGGAGAGGATCTGAGGGGTCAGAGGGGAGTAGTGGGGGAGGGGAGGGGAAGAATTACCCATTGAATGCCCCACCCGCAGCCAAGACAAAGGGTGGCCGGGTTGTGGTTTCTAAGGCAGCCCAAATTCCTCTCTCGCGTCTCCTCCCCCTGTGAGTCTCCTGTGGGCCAGGCGGCGACTATCCCCCCTATGGAGTGCCCCACTAGCAGCACCGAGGACGGGCGAGCGGGCGTGGAAACAGGAAGAAGAGTAGCGGGAGAGGATCTGAGGGGGTGAAGGGAAGGGGAGAGAGAGGGATGGGGGGAGGAGGGGGAGGGGGAGGAGAAGAGAGAGCAAGGCACAAGATGAGTTGTGTGCGTGTCCTCCCCCTCCCTCTCCGCGTGTCCTCCCCCTCCCCATTCACATCTCCCCCCCCCTGTGAATCTCCTGTGGGCCAGCGCGACTATCCCCCCCGTTGAATGCCCCACTAGCAGCACAGGGGGCGGGAGTGTAGGCGTGGAGGCACAAGAGAAACTGTAGAGGGAGAGGATCTGAGAGGGTGGGGGGAAGGAGAGGACGAGAGAGGGGGATGGGGAGAGGAGAGAGGAGGAATCACAGAGGGCGAGCGGGCCGGCGTGGAAGCACAGGAGGAACTGTAGAGGGCCACGACCTGAGAGGGCTTGTAGGGGAAGAGGGGGGGCGGGTAGGCGAGACAGAACAGCTCACATAGAGGGCCCAGAAAAAACAAAATCCTCATTAAGTGCCGCACGATAGCAGCACAGGGACGTGGGAAGAGAAGAGACTGAAATTGCAAAGAGAGGGGAATAAGCTGGAGATAGTGCAGAGCTAACATCTGCACAAGCACATACATACAGGTAACACACACACACGCACCACACACGCGCGCTCGTGCGCGCACACACACACTCTTCAAGACCCACCTGAGTGACAGCAGCAGCAACGAAGGCCGCCTGTTTGTGCAGCAGAGCGCTGTGAAGAGCAGAGAGGTGCTCCCTCAGATCCACCGAGAACCACACGAGGCGAGATGGGTACGCCGCTGATCCCCGCCCCCCCTTCCTTGTTCCTGGTTCAGCTTCTCCCCTCGCTTCCCCTGACTCTTTCTTTCCGTCCCAGTCTGCTGCTGGTTTCACTGGTGTGAGAGGCTCTGTGTGTGGCTCGTCTCCACAGGCGAAGCAGGGAGGGCTGTTCCTTGATTCGTGTTGAGCATGAGAGGCTTGGTAGATGTGGTGGGACACAGATGCGAGGGATCGCACCTGAATGAATGATGGGGAGAAGAGGGGACAGGTAAAGTGGGGGGAGCGCACGTGAAAAAACATAGTGACAGACAGGGATATCTTAAAAGGCGTGTTTATGATTGTCTTACAGTTCATGCAGATCTTGAGCGCTGGCATCAGAACTACAGATTTGGTCATGTTCGTGTCACTTTTGACAACTGTCAGAAGTGACACAAACAGAACCACGCAGATCCTGAGCACTGGCGTCAGCATTCTAGAGTTGGTTGGTGAAAGCGACTGAGCAAGACGAAGAACACTGGCATTGGTTATGTTCCTGTCACCTTTGACAACTGCCCGAAGTGACAAAAACAGAATCACGCAGATCTTTAGCAAGACGAAAGAGCATTGGTATCAGAGTCCGGTTTTGCATGGGAATGGGGACGTAATCAGCCCACATGTACGTCATGGCGCAATCCCTCTCCATAGGCTCCCTCTCCCCTTCCCATTTCCCATTCCCCTCCCCCTCGCCCTCTCCGTTCCGCTCCCCCTTCCTTTCCCTCCGATCCCCATTTTCCTCCCCTGCCACTAATTCCCCCTTTCCCCCCCCGCTTCCCCAAGCGAGTGCGCTGAGGGTTCCCGGAGGTGCCACCCATCCGGTTACCGCTAAGGCGATGAGTACTAGCGCGGAAAAACACGTCAGCAGGATGGGAGCCCCGGTGGATCGGCGGGTTCGCGCTACAGTTGAGAGTGGTTCCGCTGTCGCCGCCGCTGCTGGAGCTAAAGACGATCGTTTTGCTGCTCCCTGAGCGCCGGAACCGGAAGCTTCGGCATTTGCCCCGCAGTGGCTCTTCATTACATCAGAAAAATGTTGAACTGCCCAGTATTGGGAGGGGGAAGGGGGGGGGGGGGGGGGGGGGGGGGTGGGGGCGTGGGGGAGGGGTCCGTTTTTGAGTTGGGAGGCCAGTCGTTTTCGATAGTTTATTTTGTGAAATTCGCACTACCCTGCTTCTCGACAGTTTACCATCACTTGCGCTGGGTTTATTCGTGCAGATTGTCGAGAGCCTTTCTAGTCGTTCACACCCCCCCCCTCTCGATCCCCATTTACCTCTGTTTACAGACGAGCACTGTACAGGTGGACCAGAAACCATGGTTTACGTGGCGTTTCTGGTTGGGTGCTTACGTGCGTTTTCATTGGTCGTTTTGTTCCAGACACAAACGGGAATATATCGCGAGATGCGTGGAGTGCTTGCCAACCAACACTTCACACCCTGATTCACCTTCGCGTGGAAACGTTTGAAGATTCTTGCCACGTCATCTCCATTTCAGTTGTAGGTGAAGTGACAGAACAGTAACTTGTTACAAACCTCACTTTGAGATTTGTTTCTGTTAGGTGCGTTCTTTTCAACAATCAACAACACAGGCAAAATCCAGAGCACACACATATGCAGGAGATGAGAGCGGAGGTGGGCCGACGACCTGGCAGAGCTGCGAGAAACGGCGCTTCCTTGGACTTGAGGCTGAAAGAGGTTAAAAATAGGGAGTCGAAGAACGAGGGGGGAAAATAAGTTTGACAAGGTATCACCAACGGATAGAATGATATCGATGGGGAGAGAGAGAGGAACAACGGACAGCGAGGGGAGAGCGGAGGAGCGACGGGAAGAAAGGGGAGAGAGGAGGAAAGACGGGAGAGGAGGCGAACGACGGGATGGGAGGGGAGAGGAGGCGAACGACGGGATGGGAGGGGAGAGGAGACGAACGACGGGATGGGAGGGGAGAGGAGGCGAACGACGGGATGGGAGGGGAGAGGAGGCGAACGACGGGATGGGAGGGGAGAGGAGGCGAACGACGGGATGGGAGGGGAGAGGAGGCGAACGACGGGATGGGAGGGGAGAGGAGGCGAACGACGGGATGGGAGGGGAGAGGAGGCGAACGACGGGATGGGAGGGGAGAGGAGGCGAACGACGGGATGGGAGGGGAGAGGAGGCGAACGACGGATGGGAGGGGAGAGGAGGAACGTGAGCGCGATGGCGAGGGGAGGGAGGAACGTGAGCGCGATGCCGATGGGAGGGGAGGACGTGAGCGAGAGGAGATGAAGTGAACGACCGGATGGGAGGGGAGATTGCAAGGGCGACGGGATGGAGAGCGCGAAGGCGACGGGATGGAGAGCGCTAAGGCGGGAGAGCGCTAAGGCGACGGGAGGGAGAGCGCTACGGCGACGGGAGGGAGAGCGCGCAGGCGACGAGAGGGAGAGCGCGAAGGTGACGGGAAAAGTGAACGGAGGGGAGGGAGGAAGGGCGGGGGAAAGGCGTTTCAGAGCAAGAGCGTAGGCGACGAGGTGTGTGCTGGGAGGGGAGAGAAGAAAGGTGACGGACGGGGGCATTTCGGGGAGAGAGCTAACCCGACGCGGTGAGCGATGGGCCGACGAATGCATGAGCGAGGGGAGAAAGAGAGGGCGACGGGGGGGAGAGAGACCCGCGAAGGTGATGGGAGGGGAGCGGACAGCGGACGAACGATTGGAGGGTAGGGGAGATGGCGAAGGCGCGATACAGGAAACTGGCACCTGTGGAAGAGTGGCGATCGCCTACGGAAGGGTACAGGATTACGATATTACGCTACGTAACAGTCTTACACATCCTGCAGGGTCGATCAAAGATTGGCGACAGACAATCACATTTGCTCACTGTGCTTCTAGTTTTGTTTGGAACAGTGCTCTATCGGCCCGTTTTCGGCAGCCACTTTCAAGATGGGACAGGGTTCATTATTTTATATTTAGGTTTTAAATGGAATTTAACATGTGATATTGGCTAGGTATTCAGGGTTTAGGGTCAGCCTATAATAGGCCTCAGAAACAAAATTTGTGGATATTTTATGGAAACTGATTTTGTCTTTCTCGTAATGCAATTTTACGATAGAACATTGAAGATGCAATGTATAGTTATAGTTGAATACATTTCATGGATGTCATAGCCTGTAACGAAGCGTTCCGTTATATTACTACGGCTGCTTGTGCTATTATTGGAACCAATAATTCTCTGCCACAGAGTCTCGCATATCACGCGGCTTCACTGGGCCTCTCGACGTCTGTCTTTGGTGCGATGAATTATTGATTGGGTGTTGGTGTGTTTAACGAATTTTAACCATCTGATTCTTTCCAAACCATTATAAGAATGGGTTTCCCGCTCTCAACCGAGTAGTTTCGTGATGCATTAGCAGATTCTGTTCCGGGCCGAGATTTCTGCTGGCGGACTCTTTGTCATGTCAAGATAGGTAGTAGAAAGTTTAGAAGCAGAAAGAGGGGTTGCACTAGCAAGCAGTTGAGTACATATAGGAACCCTAGATTGGGCTGTACTCGCTATAGAGTACCCCACTGCAGGCTAGACAAATACAACATTCTGACACACCCCCATAGTCAAAGTGGGGTATAATCAGCAGAGCAAGCAGTCATAGAGCAGATTCACAAGTGCATGCAAAGCTAGAGGCATTCACAAAGGGCAAGTGAGGAGGAGGAGGCGAGACTGTAGGTGGAGAGGAGATAAGAGGCGTCGGCTGAAGCTGCAGACACACGGGCAACAGGAGTCAAACTGGCTCAGTGGCTACCGGAACAAGCGCCCCGGACTACAGGAGTAACTGGCTCCGCGGCTAAGAAGAGCGGCAAATGAGCAACGGACCCACGGGCGACTGGCGCAGCTGGCTACGACTGGGCTACCTAAACAAGCGCCCCGGACTACAGGTGCTGCTGACGACAAGACGGCAGCCTCCGCTCAACCTCCCCCGACTGTCCCACCCCCCTCTCACACACCCCCTGCTGGAACCCTAGCTCCACTCCTTCGTCACCCCCCTAGCACCACTCCTTCGGCTCCCACACACCCACCCCCCTGAGCGGCAGCTGCAGCAGCGGGAGACGGAGGAGGAGGAGGAGTAGGGGACGGGGCACACAACCGGCACCCCCACAACCGCCACCCCCACACTCCCCACCCCCAAACCCTAAAACGGGCGGAACGGGGTAGGAGCGCGGGGGACGGCGAGGGGGAAGGCGCGCGGCCCCCAGGGCGCCACCATGGGGCAGCGAGGGGCCGCGCACAGCCCCCGAGGGCGCCGCGACGGGGCAGCGGGGGGTCGCGCGCGGCTCCCGAGAGTGCCGCGACGTGGCTGCGGGGTCGCGCACGGCTCCCCAGGCCGCCGCGACGGGACTGCGGGGTCGCGCGCGGCTCCCCGGGGTCGCGCGCAGCTCCCCAGGGCGCCGCGACGAGGCAGCAGGCGTCGCGCGCGCTTCCAGGGCGCCGCGACGAGGCAGCGGGGGCGACGGGGGGGTCTGCTGCAGGCGACGGGTGGGCTGTAGCAGGCGACGGTGAGGAAACGACGGGGGGAAACCGCCGCGCGCCCCGGGGCGCACGGCGGGCAGGAAACCGCCGCGCGCTCCGTGCGCACGGCGAGCAGAAAACCGCCGTGCGCACGAGCGCGTGGCGGGAAGAAAAAAAAAAAATCCGTCGCGCGCCAAGGGGCGCGCGACACAGAGAACAGCAGCGGAAGCATTAGGTGGTGGGCCCACCCACAGGATCGACCCAAGGGGGTCGACCTGCTCTGATAGCATGTCAAGATAGGTAGTAGAAAGTTTAGAAGCAGAAAGAGGGGTTGCACTAGCAAGCAGTTGAGTACATATAGGAACCCTAGATTGGGCTGTACTCGCTATAGAGTACCCCACTGCAGGCTAGACAAATACAACATTCTGACATGTCATACTTCGCCATTTGAGAATTCGATGAATTCACGCGCCGTTGTCAAAGCGGTCCATTTGGCAACCGTGCATTCTAACCCGTGCATCTTACTGAGCCTCTGTTGTCAGAATGTTATTCTCTAGCCTGTAGTGGGGTGCTCTATAGCGAGTACAACCCATCTAGGGTTTGCTATATGTATCCTCATTGCTGCTAGTGAAACCCCTCTTTGCCTAAACTCTCTCTTGCCTAGCTAGGGTTTTCCTAGCTATGGCTCCTAATTCTCGCTATTACTTTAACATGCTATCAGAGCGGTCACGCTCCTGGACTGTGGGCCCACCTAACGGCTTCCGCTGCTGTTCTCTGTGTCGCGCGCCCCGTGGCGCGCGACGTTTTTTCTTCCCGCCACGCGCTCGTGCGCGCGGCGGTTTTCTGCTCGCCGTGCGCACGGAGCGCGCGGCGGTTTCCTGCCCGCCGTGCGCCCCGGGGCGCGCGGCGGTTTCCCCCCGTCGTTTCCCTCCCGTCGCCTGCTGCAGCTCGCCCGTCGCCTGCAGCAGACCCCCCTGTCGCCCCCGCTGCCCCGTCGCGGCGCCCTGGGAAGCGCGCGCGACGCCTGCTGCCCCGTCGCGGCGCCCTGGGGAGCCGTGCGCGGCCCCCCCCCGCTCGTCGCGGCGCCCTGGGGGCCATGCGCGGCCCCGCTGCCTCGTCGCGGCGCCCTGGGGAGCCGCGCGCGACCCCGCAGCCACGTCGCGGCGCCCTGGGGAGCCGCGCGCGACCCCCCGCTGCCCCGTCGCGGCGCCCTGGGAAGCCGCGCGCGCCCCGCCCGCTGCCCCGTCGCGTCGCCCTGGGGAGCCGCGCGCCCTCCCCCGAATCGCCCCCGAATCGCCCCTTCCCCCCCCATTCTGCCTCTGTTAGGGTTTGGGGGTGGCGAGTGTGGGGGTGGCGCCTATGGGGGTGCTGGCTGTGTGCTCCGTCCCCTGCTCCTCCTCCTCCTCCGTCTCCCGCTGCTGCAGCTGCCGCTGAGGGGGGTGGGTGTGTGGGAGCCGAAGGAGTGGTGCTAGGGGGGTGACGTGGGAGTGGAGCTAGGGTTTGAACAGGGGGTGTGTGAAAAGGGGGTGGGACGGTCGGGGGAGGTTGAGCGGAGGCTGCCGTCTTGTCGTCAGCAGCACCTGTAGTCCGGGGCGCTTGTTTAGGTAGCCCAGTCGTAGCCAGCTGCGCCAGTCGCCCGTGGGTCCGTTGCTCGTCTGCCGCTCTTCTTAGCCGCGGAGCCAGTTACTCCTGTAGTCCGGGGCGCTTGTTCCGGTAGCCACTGAGCCAGTTTGACTCCTGTTGCCCGTGTGTCTGCAGCTTCAGCCGTCGCCTCTTATCTCCTCTCCTCCTACAGTCTCGCCTCCTCCTCCTCACTTGCCCTTTGTGAATGCCTCTAGCTTTTCTGGCCCTTGTGAACCTGCTCTGTGCTTGCTCATTGTACTGATTCCACCCCACTTTGGCTATGGGGGTGTGTCAGAATGTTATTCTCTAGCCTGTAGTGGGGTGCTCTATAGCGAGTACAACCCATCTAGGGTTCTCTATATGTATCCTCATTGCTGCTAGTGATAGCCCTCTTTGCCTAAACTCTCTCTTGCCTAGCTAGGGTTTTCCTAGCTATGGCTCCTAATTCTCGCTATTACTTTAACATCTGTAACGCTACAACAGAAGAGAGCACTTTATTTAGGTGCGATGCCTTCAGCAGCAGCTGCGTGCGCCCAGGGACAAATGTGACTTGGTCATTTAGCGCGATTGGTGGCGCCACGAGGTGTTATGTCGCCTAAGAAACTTGTACTGTCTTCGACGAGCTCTAAGCGCGTGTGGGGAGTTGCTGCGTGAGTGCAACAAGCGGCTACTTTGGCGACAGATTCAGCAGCTGCCTCACCAAGCCGACACCACCACAATAGTACATCGCGGAAAAGGCAATGGTTAGAAGTGACGGGAAAGTGACTTTTCCGTGCCTTCCCCGTATACGGTTTTCTGGGGTAAAAAGGTGATGGTTGGAAGTAACAAGCCCAATGTCACTTCCAAGGTGATGGGAATGTAACAGAAATGTCACGAGAAAGCTCCGTTTCCGTCACATACAAAGTGACGACCCGGTCACCGGCAAGTTACGTACACGTCACACGGGGGTTCTCTTCTACGAACGACCGTCAAATGCCACAAATACACACAATCTTATAGCGACCCGCCATGTGGCTCGCATGATGTCATCATTACAACCCGTAAGTTACAACATAGTACAGTTCATGGCGCTTCGGGCCACTGTCCCATCCAACCAACTGCCTTCACGTGGACGACCATGATCACCCCGGAGTTGTATCGTCGCCCTTTGTTTGCACACTCCGCATCCAATCCTCATGCGCCCTCTCCCGATAAGTCCTGTCTCCCATTGGAAGAATCTCAATCCAACACGTTGACTCGACAATACGTGTACACCGTGGATGACGTTGAAATATGACAAGGTGTATGGCTGCAACTATGCTCGTGATGACTGGACAAATCAGCGACCTCTACATCCGACCGTCAACGTAACCACGCATCGACGATGCCTCACAGGCGACATCGCGAACCGTATCCCAGCAGTGTCAACGTGTACGTATTCCTGTCCGTGGATAGTCACCCACATGGACAGCCTACACCTTGCATGGAGCCACCGATGAAGGCCCACTTGTCATGCCCCCGACCATCCATGAGACCATTAGTCAACGGCACTCCGTGCCCCTATGCACGTGCATCCATGGCTCCAATTGATTTAGGGCCTAGCCACGCACAACCCCACGATAAGATGGTTTGGACCGTCACAACCCGAATCGCGGTCCCAATCTAGCCGTATCCAACGGCACACATCCGAATCGCGTTCGATGTTGGTAACTCTAGGCTACTGGCCGCATTTGTCCGCGTCACCATACGTTCCGCGGAATGGTTGACGGGTTAGATGTGCCCCTTCTCACGGGCAGACCTCATTCCTCCTACACCTGTTATTGTTCCTTCGATGTTTAAACCATTTGCCATTAATCCCTCTTACACGCATCGTGGCCTATCCAATACCCTCAATCAAACCCTTCTCGACCGGCACACTTCCGTTCACATCACACACCACACTATAAGCATTAGACATACGGTGCTCCTCCACTTCTCTGCACCGCGACGCTGCCAAGCAACGCCGTGCATACGTCATCCGATTATGCCCGCGGAGTCCCGCGGCTGGCGCTAGCCTCCGCGCTCACCGCGTCGGCAACTGTGATGTCGTCCGCCGAGATGCGGAGACCATGGCGGCCCCACGCCTAGCTCTGGGACGCCGCGTCATACTCGGACCGGAACTCCACGATGGCCCGAGTAACAGCAGCCTTGACGAGGACGTGCAGGCCGTCCACGATCTGCGCGTTGGAGCCCGCGGAGTTGGAGAAGCGACCTTGGCGCACCTCCCAGTGCCTGATAGCATCTGTAACCTGCGCACGGCAAACCACATACGATCGCAGATAAGGACACTCTCCCTGTTATCTACAACTTTGTAATGCTGCACAGTCTTGACGTACCACGTGCTCCAGCCATTCCATGTGGTAGAGCTTCGGTGTCACGGCCCCGTTCACCATTTGTGGCTTGAACGCCGCCCGCGCGCATGCAGTAAACGCAGCATCCCGTCTCGGTCGCAACTCCAACGAGACAGTGCCAGCTTATCTACCAGGTCAAACACACACCGCGTGCACAACGATCAATGGTGAGCCAAAGAGATACACAAGCACTCTCAGACGCACCGGTTATGGCAGCCCTTCCTTACCCGTAGCCACGTCTCCGAGGCCGACCCTATCTCGGATTCGGGACAAGGTGCGCCTCGAACGTGTCGCCCAGGGGCTTTTCATGTCTCGTTCGTGGCAAAATAGCCCAATCCTAGGCAGCGAGATGTCCCAGACTCTCCTTGCCGCACCCGTCTTCCAGACGCTGAACGACCTGTTCAGGTCGACCCGACGTGCCTTGTCAGCCGCGAGTGCAAGGCTTGCATAGTTGGGGGTGAGGTTATCCACGACTGCGCAGATGGCCCAGGTCTTGGATGCGCTGCTGGGGTAGAACGTCAACTACGAGTTGGAGCGCCTAATGAACAGCTCGGTGCGAGCCTGCTCACATATTTCCTGCAATGTCAAACAGCGCAACACGTCATCAACCTGCCAACATGATCCGCAGGGTATACAACACATCATCCATAGTAGGCGACACACCAACACTAGATTCGTACCTTCCACCCCTTGTCGGTTGGGAGGAGCTCGAGCGCCTCCTGTAGAATGGCAGAGGTGGAGTGTCGAACGTGGCCATCATCTCCCTCTTCCAACTCATCCTCTTCCTCGGACGTCGTCTCGGATGTGGAGCGTGACCGCCGCGCCTTGCGGCACTTTCCGTTGCCGGATCCGCGCTTTCGACGCCTCTTCCTCTTATTGTTGACGTCATCCCAGGGTTTCGCACGTGCCGTGGCTTCATGGAGCTCCTGCATGCTCTGCAGCTCCTCCCGCATGACCGGTGTGTCATTCGGAGCACGTTCCGCGCCGGCGTCCACCTCTTCCGCATCGGCCTCAGCCTCGTTGTCTGATTTCGCATCATCCTCGTTCTCGGTGTCCACTGGGTAACGCCTGGGGAGAGCCTCATTGGGGTCGTCGTCCGATGATGGCGCCGGAGGTGCGTCAAGTTTCCCCTCCACACGTGCAGAACCTTCGATGACGTCTTGAACGTGACGTTTACGCCTGCGGCCCGCCGAACCGCCGGTTGCAGCCTCTTCGTCAATCTGCCGGCTGGAATGGGCAGACGAGGAGCTACTTTCGGACGTGCTCCCATGCGACATACACGAGTCCCCGCGAGTCCCATGAGACGGTGTGACGGCTGCATCTCACACGCGGCATGCCAAAACGCACAGTACATAGATTACAACTCACAACTAAGAACACCGTGTAAAACCGTCTAAGCGACTCTCGTCACAAAGACCAACGAACGAGAGCCATTAACAAACAATGACGCATAACCACTCACGTCGCGGAGAGGGTGAACCCCGCGCCTGATGCTCATTGACATTTTTCGGAATAGCCAGACGAGGCTTTTTCGTCATTTGACGCCTAACATTCCCCGGCAGAAGGTAAGAGTTTCGCAGGTAGGCAGGTGGTTGTGACACGCGCTGCAGCCCTCGACCCCCGACGCGTGCTATACCTGGAAGTGCGCAAGAGGCTCCCTGGTGCTGCCGGAGTCGCAGGAGCTGCTTGATGATCCGTCTCCACCTTCGTGGGCTTGTCCTCTGTTGGTGACGGGTCCCTATGAAAGGTAGATGCACCATTGTTATGAGCAGGAGCCAACGATGTCACCGGAATAGGGCCGGGGGTAGGATGGATGGTGATGCCGAGCGTCCGCATCGATGCAGCGTGATCCACGTGGTTCTTTGACGTGGACAGCGCCAGCAGAGGCGTCCCGTGGGTCTGTAGCTCGTGGGCCGCTCCACTTAACAGTTGATCCTCTGAAATGCCAAGCGAACGTGCCAGACCCATGACCGCCGCACACACAACTTAACCCCCTAGCTCCATCCGGGTTATCATGCCTGACTGCCTCGCCAGGTCGGTACGAACTTCGTCCTCCTTGGGAAAGACAAGGGCACCATGTTCACCCAACTGTGGAAGAGGCTGCAAGGGAACCTCCACACCCTCCCCAAAGAGCTTGACAATAAGGTCACCTTTGGAGTGAAGTGACACCTCCGCGCGTAGCTGCCTCCAGTAGGCGTGAGTCTTCGCGTCGTAGAACGTCATCCACTCCTTGAGGATTGAAAAGCCGCACGAGACCAGTGCATAGAGATACATACACACATATATCCCACAGTCGACAGTGTTCGACTGTGTCGGGATGTCTTCAGGCTGCCAGAAGACACACAACACGATAACGAACTCGTCAGTGAGAGACAACCCTGACTGGGCCCGCATCGAAGCAACGTCATGAAATGCACTTACATGCATGATGGTGACTTCAGCATACTTCAAGTGGTCCGCAGCCTGCTTCCGGTCCACTGTGGGTACCTGAGCCTGGTGGAGCATGAGCAACATCCTGCCGAATCAGGGGATCTTAATAGTAAGGCATGAGGGAAAACATAATAGCTGCACCAGGGAAAACATAATAGGTTCACCACCCACTTCTTGACGCCTTCCATCACTTTGGGCTCCTTGGTGTGCAACTGTGCGCTATCATAATGCACCAGCTCCATGCAGCCCTCCGCGGTCTCGGATAGCTTCCCACCCCCCATGACACGAAGATTCGTGCCTATCACCAGCGAGTAGTGGCCTCTGACACATGTACACATCGTGTACTTTAGGACGAATTCCTTCAATAGCATGACAGTACGAATAAACTGACTTACTCGTAGTACACGGGTATGGCGATGTAATCCTGGGCGAAAATACACGGTGCATTGCCAAGGGGCCGAGCCTTGTCCAGAGAGGTGGCGAACACAAACGCCTTCGTGTCGAGCGCGAACCATGTCTTTCCACCCTCCAGCTTCGGATGTCGTATGTTCAAAAGGCTGATACACAACGCATAGGTGCGAGACGGGTCGTCAGCATGGTTAGCAATACTTTATTTGTAATACGTCTAATGGATTTCGGTCATCCTAACTCACATGTTATGGAAGTTAACAAGGGAGTCGGCCAAACACTGGCCGTCTGCGAGTGTCATAACGTCCTGTGCCGTCAGCTGACAACCCACGCCATGGGGACCGTAGAGCGCCAGCGTCTGGAAATCCCGCTGATAGTTGGGGCGGGCAAGACGGGCCACGACATCGTCAGTTGGTGGTGGTGGCTCCTCTCCTGCGCCCCTCATGGAGCTGGCCGCCGATGCAGTGTTACGAGTGCGAGGCGTCTCCTGTTTCACCTTGCGTTGTCGGCGGTCATGCTCCGTCGTAAGCACATTCAAGGCACTGGCCGCGCACGAAGAGTTGTCTCTCAGCACCAGCATACGCTGTATGTTCATCGTGTGCACTTGGACGACTCGGACGCGTACTAATTTCGTAGACGCGATAGGTAGACGGGGATATGAGAGTACGGAACCTGGACTGTTGTAATGGCAGCCCAACGGAAGATTATACTTGGCAGTTGACGTTCACGCTCTGCGGAGTCTGTGGGTGTTCCGAAACCTTAAGAATGGACAAGGCAAACAGAGATTCCCATAGCGCGCCTGATCCAGATGGTAAATTGGCGCGGAACTTAGGACATGCATAGGAGTCACACGTGTCATGATTGCGTAGCATGCCTCATGTTCTCGTTGGGGACGACAGGGTGAGCTTGCATGTGGAGGCTGCAAGGTTGTAATGACAGGGGCCCGATGTGACATACTCGCTATAGGACATGGGTACTGAAACATGCAAGAGGTGATTCATTATGTACTAAACTTGGACTGTAAGTTCACAAGCAAGGCAAACAATGACCACCACACGAACGCGAGCAGGTGGTTCGCCCCTCTACTATGGTAGTTGGAACCCTATCCACACAAAATGGGTTGTAACAAACTCGCAACATTGATAAACACCCCCCAAATATAAGTTGATCATTGCACGCAGCATAAAACATAACACAGCACGTGCCACCCTCTCCATCTTCCCACGGGGTAGTGAACACCCGTTTAAACCAAACTGCAAGGCAGTTACACCATTTCCGTCTCTCAGCCCATCTCATGCTAGGGTGGCAATCCTCATATCATAGTCACAGACGTAGGATGGTGACGCTTCATAGGTGTCCGACGCAGACGACTGACGACCAATGCGCTAGACGCGCCAAACCGCTCAGGCGCGTCACGCACATGTATGCCAAGCGCGAGGGCCTGACGGACAAGATATTCGGTGACGACTCGCGCCACACGCCTGCAAAGACGATTGTCCTTGAGTAGCGGTCCTGGCTGCGTGTGCAGGGTTACCTCGCGACCGTCATAAGCTGCGAGAGTGTCATTGTTGGTGCGCTGAGCGCGGGGATGGATGAGGGTTTGCTCGCAATGCAAATAATCCGTAGCATGCACGGGAGTGTCGCCGCACCGTGCGAACTGGTCTATGATGTACTGTTGCTGACACAGTTCCAGGACAAGAGGTTCGGATAGTACACTAAGTACTGGGTTTTTGAACTCGCACACGGAGGCTCGCCATGATGTTGGCACGCAGCCCGCACGCCACCAGCTGAGTTGGACCGATACCGGAGTAATGCCACCGACAGGTGAGGGAGAAGAAACACAGTCCCGGCGCGCCACTCTGGGGTTAGCATCAAATGGCAAAGGTAGGAGCCACGGTATAGTGTCTTCCACACTTCCACAATCCCACACATGCCGGGATGGATGCACCTCGGCGCCTGACCCTGCATGTGAATGACTCGGAGGTTGCTCAAGTTCTGTACGCAGAAACCGTGCTCCGTCGTTTCCATCTTCAACGCTTCGAGGTACTCGTTGAATATCTACCATGCAGGAAACGAGAAAATGGGGAAGTTAAATCAGTAACAGGGATTGCAAGCGGTGATTAATGCATCCCGCTGGATGTACGGAGTATGGGCAAGAGATCTCCCACCTCGGGCGTGACGGACCCGTCCAAGCTGTGGCGCACGAACACGGGATAACCGGGGGGTGTTTCATGGCCCTGAGCAAGCGCGTCGTCCGCGCGAAACATGAGGAGAGGCGGACACATGATTGTGCCTGTTGCATTGAACAGGAAGCCGACATTGAGGTGCCAGCCAGGCCGCGGGTCATCGCGTCCATCCTCCGCGTCACGGAAGGGGAGCTTGGTGGGCAAGAAAGGCTCCTCTACGAAGCAGTAAATGTCGTCAGGATGAGCCTCTATCTCATCCAGAAGGAGGGCCATTTCAGCCATGGGTGTGAGATAGAGTGCACCACCTAGTCGAATGCATTGGTTATGAGTGCAATTAGCTTACTCTAGTAGGAGGCACTACGGACTTACAGTGCCAATGTACACGCGGACATTATCCGCCACGTAATCACATCCAGAGCCACTCCTGGACACATGGATCATCCCTGGTTGTTTCGTGATGTGGATACATGTAGTGATGTCATTCGGACGCAGGGCGCCACCTGTGAAACTATATATGTTATACTTGTGTAGGCTGTAGTGGGATAGTCCACATGGGGTACAACCCAATTAGGGTTTACTACTTGTACTCCTGCATGCTGCTAGTTCATCCATTCTTGCCTAGACATTCTAACATGGTTTCAGAGTGGTTAGTCCGTTAGGACCGTTTTTTTCCTGGGCCCACCGAACGCCTGCCTGCCTGCGGTTACCGCGCTGCCCCACACGCGCCCTACCTTTCCCGCCTGTCGCGCCGCCCCTAAGGCCCGCGCCTGCCCTGCCTACCCGTCGCGTCGCCCTAGGCCGACGCCCGGCCCCCTGCCTGCCCGTCGCGTCACCCTAAGCCCGCGCCCGGCCCCTTACCTGCCCGTCGCGTCGCCCTAAGCCCGCGCCCGGCCCCCTGCCTGCCCGTCGCGTCCCCCTAAGCCCGCGCCCGGCCCCTTACCTGCCCGTCGCGTCGCCCTAAGCCCGCGCCCGGCCCCCTGCCTGCCCGTCGCGTCGCCCTAAGCCCGCGCCCGTCCCCTTACCTGCCCGTCGCGTCGCCCTAAGCCCGCGCCCGGCCCCTTACCTGCCCGTCGCGTCGCCCTAAGCCCGCGCCCGACCCCTTACCTGCCCGTCGCGTCGCCCTAAGCCCGCGCCCGGCCCCCTGCCTGCCCGTCGCGTCGCCCTAAGCCCGCGCCCGGCCCCTTGCCTGCCCGTCGCGTCGCCCTAAGCCCGCGCCCGGCCCCCTGCCTGCCCGTCGCGTCGCCCTAAGCCCG